CCAACTGAGGAGTGATAGAGCAGCTTTGGTGGGTACCTGGCATCCAGCCAGGGTCAACCGACAGCAACTATGTCAGCTTATAAAAGTACAATGAAATGCAAACTTTAATATCCCTGTATACCACATTTTAAATAGCCATGTCACTGTAAAAGCCTAAGGAAAAAAGAAAAATTGCTTTTGTTTTAATTGACCAAAAAGCACTAACATATACATAATGAATTCTAACAGGTTCTTATAGATCGCAAGCAATGGAAAGTCTGTCACTGTTATTGTAGCTTTCTTGTAGGGAATCCCTCAACAACCATTTCTTACCTGGTCCTAGTCAATATGTAACTGGTGAACAGGTGGAAAGATGCCAAAAACATTCACCACACATACAGCATTAGTCATCTTTCATTACACATCAGACAACACAGTGGTTGTACAATGCAGCTGACAGACCAAAGAAAACCCAAACCAAATAAACAGTGATGGGTCAACGCTGGGGCAAAGAAAATCCTTTCAAAAGATCACAGCCATAACATTCCTCTTTGATTTAGAAGAGCATCCATAGGCAAACAGATCAGTTTTGTCACAGTTTAACAATATCAGCAGCAACAGCAGTCTCTGCAACTAACATTACAATGGTTTTAGATAACCTCGTAACATCCTTGTGTTACCAACTTAGTCTCAGATATAAAAACCTTCATCAGCTCCACACAGACTGCAGCAATACAGTACACCTGAGCATAAAACAGTCAGCTTTGAAAAAATACAAATACAGAATGCTGAAGTATTTTTTGTGACTAACACAAAATACCAAGAGCACACAAAATGTATCTGCCCATCTCTAAACTGGTTTCCCCACACAGTATTGATTCAAGTCAGAGCTCTTATATTCCATTCTCCATGCCTACTTCAATCCACCTAAAAAATCATGTTAAGTTTGAGAATAACTCTATCTCCCAGGTGCAATGAAACTTTGCCATAAATACAGAAGCCCGCTGTACAGACACAGAGCTTTCTTAGGAAAGAAAAATGAAATTCAACAGAAAATAAGGAACTATTACAACTTTGCCAGCTTCTTCTCCAAATGCTAAGCACCTTCAGCCTTCCTTCTTAAACACCACTTAGATTCTGCCTATGATATGAAGAAGAAAAAAAAAAAAGTAAACATTTCCACAGTCCTCGGATCCTACAGCAAAACTCATAGTCCTGCAGGGGTGGGGGGTGGGGGAAATATAATATCTATGATAGAGAGAGTTACATCACTTACTACAGTTCAGCCAAGTGCTCAGACACATTAATAATGTGCTACAAAACCTCCATGGGATGCACTAAAAAGGAGAATTCTGATCCTACAGCTGTGTGGCTGCCCCAGGCAAGGCTGAGCACCCTCCCAGCCCCATACTCCAGCTGCGCTGCCGTGTGTTTGGACCAGGGCTGGCTGCCCCCCACACAGCTTGGAGTGCAAGCAGCATCAGCACAGCTCTACCTGCAAGAAGCCAGGCAAACCTACCCAGAATATAACCTTGAAAGGAGTAGGTCTGTGCGTAGACTCCGCACAAGTATTTCAGTATTTCCACATCTGCATGCCAAATGGAGATCTTCAGCTAAGGACTTTGTGCTTGTCTAGTCTGGAGAAAAGGAGGCTGAGGGGCAACCTCATTGCTCTGTACAACTTCCTGAGAGGGGGAAGAGGAGAGGGAGGTGCTGAGCTCTTCTCCCTGGTATGCAGTGACAGGACGCATGGGAATAGTTCAAAGTTGTGCCAGGGCAGGTTTAAACTGGACATTAGGAAGCATTTCTCTACTGCGAGGATGGTCAAACATTGGAACAGGCTTCCTAGAGAGGTGGTTGATGCCCCAAGCCTGTCAGTGTTTAAGAGGCATTCGGACAATGCCCTTAATAACATACTTTTAACTTTTGGTCAGCCCTGAGGTGGTCAGGCAGTTGGACTAGATGATCACTGTAGGCCCCTTCCAACTGAAACTATTTTATTCTGCAACAAATAAGGCATAAGGAACCTGGTGACTAGGTGTAGGTTATTCGGGGTCTCTGCTGTTATCCTACATGGATTCTGACCAGTATCTTTCATAAGTTTTAAAGACAACACTAATTAACCATTTGATATGTTCCTCAGATTAACCAATAAAAAAAAAACTGTATACAGACATGGAAGAATTCACTAGCTTTTGGGGAGCTTTTAAAAAAAGAAGTACCTTAAAGAATTAATGCATCTATTAAAGATTACATTTGCAAGCTGAGTTGCATAGTCTTGGTAGAAGCAGCTAAATTTTTAATTGCAAGGCTACAACAAAGTATTTGAAAGAGCTTTTGACACATACATAATCAAACCAAATTGTACTTGGCTGAAACAAGCAATTAAAATCACAATTTATATTACTACAAAGCTTATTCTTCTAGCTGCAGTTTCAATGTTTTATTCACACATTAAAATGGTGGTCTCTGGTCTGGCAGGTTGTTGGCTCACTGTCACAAATGTAACTGAGTTACAGGAGCAGAGCAAGGCCAATCCACCTCATCCTCCTCACTGATCAGCATGGTGACAGAAATTATGTTCAGACGTGCTTCAGCAACACATTTTTAGCCTTGGCTTTTTCTCCAAAGTCATTGTTTATGCAAGTACCATTAATTAAACCCATTGTCCCCCTCAGACAGACTGTTCAGCTCATCCATGTTGGCATTAGCTGTTTATTTCACTTGAAGCTCTTGCAATTAAAGAAGATACTTTTATCGACATCTTTGTCCTTCTTTCTGTTGCCTGGACAGTGCCCTGAAGAAACTCAGAAAGGATGAGGAGCTCAGAGAGAAGGTTGGCACCAACAGGAAATAGTAGCTGTAAACAGGGGGGAAACAAAGGACTTAGGCAGAAGGAAAAGGACGTAGCTATAGCACACCATCAGTGCACAGAACTACGGCTGGGCAGTGAGAAGAAGATGAAGGTGAGGCTAGGCTTGCGTATGAACAGAACTTAAGAAAGAAAACCAAAACTGGGAGGAAGCAAAAGCAAGGGAGCATTGGTAGTAGAAAGAGAAAAGACTAGGAGGGAGGAAGAAGTAGGTGTAAGCCTAGTCTGAGGCTATAAATTATGTGGAATACAGACACTGAAACTGAGAAGAAGGAACTGAAGTGCAGAGACAGTACTGGAGGCAATGGGGCAGAAGGTAAAAAGCTTTGGAGGGAATGAACAGAAATCTGCGGCTATAAGAGTACCTAGAATCAAACCCCAAAACCTTGGATTTCCTCTTGCTTCCTCTGCTACCACAAATAACCGTGAAACGCTTTGGCAAAGCATCCAAACACCATCTAGTCCTAAACCCTCAGAGGGTAACAACCTCCCCTCAGCATCAGCCCAAGTGCTGGAGTTCTGAATGGCAGATTTAAAAGTTGCAGCTGTATTGACCATGCAGATAAATGTCAACATGATGCCCTGTAATAAAATTTCAACCCTTTTTAGAATTCTAGGAATTTACACACACAAAAATTGTGTTAAAAATTTAAAAAGCTGCCCTGTTCTGGGGTAAGACTGAAGGAACCTGTTCTCTCTAACACTGCAGAACGTGGAATATCTTTAGCTAAAATCAGGAGATGCAGTGGGGGAAGAAAGGTAGATCTCACGGACAAAGATGTTGAATGTAGTTTTATGGACTGGTGCGATCACTGCAGATGGATCCCTACCATAGAAGACACAGTTGACAAGTCACTTAAATCAACTTTTTGCAATGATTAATAATTATACGTTCATTTAACAGGTACCCAACTCAACACCCTCTGCTTAGGCCTCAAAGCAATCACTGAGCTACTGAACATCAAACATCAATTGTTATAAAACGCATTAGTTTCTAAGTACTCTCTCTCAGAACTAGGAAATGTGCAATGAGCACAGAAACATGACATTAATATCTGTGCTTGAAAACTAAATTATTCAAAACTTAGAAAACAACAGAACAAGGTTACTTGTGCGTTCTTTGTTTCGTCCTAAACGTGCATATGTGTTCTGTAAGCCCGTCTCCTCAGGGAGTGTACTGAGCCGTCTTTTTCTCTTAGGTTTTCAAAATACGGTCCAATACCTTATTAAAGGTGTGTTATTCAAACCCTGCCTTAGTATCAGACTTTTTCCCCTGCCTTTTACTCAGTATGGAGAACAATAATCTGCAACGAATTTGGTTTTAGAGCACGACTGTGGACTGAGGACTATTACTAATGCTGGTCAGCCTTCGGCTCTGCAATTCCTTAACTTCTCTGCGCTTGCCTTTTCAAGTCTTAAAACGTTCCGATTACCTTTTCACGTGTAGTTTGCATAAAGTGGCACTTTACAGCCATACTGCGTGACAGAAGAAAAAAAAAAACACGCTACAGGCAGCATACAGAGTGCGACATTAGGAACGCTTATGCTCCTACGTGCTGTGGAGGCGTCCTCTTACGTGGCAACCGCCACGAAGAAACACTCGCGTGAACGCGCGCACGACCGCGGCGCAGCCCGGGGGAAAGCCGGGTTCGCAGGGTTAGGAGCGTCAGCCCTCGCAGGAGGGGGCGGCAGCCAGCAGAGCCCCCCGGGACGGCCCTGCCGGCCCCGGCCGCGGAG